GCTCTATCCGCTGAGCCTAACTGGTTAGGGCCTAAATCGCTTCTGTATCTTCTTTCTTATTCCCTCTGCTTCCTTTTTTCTTTTTTTGGAAAGAGGACAAATAATGTAGGATATTTAAGTAATATGTGATTAGTTCTTTTTTCACATTTACAGTGTGAAACATGAAAGAAAATAAATACCCTATATTGAAACTTTGTGATGCTTAATTCCACAATAATGTAAAGGAAGAATGTAAAGCATGACATTAATTGCCCACAGGTAGTTTAATGATATTAGTGACCTATATACAATAAATGTTCTCGTAAACATGGTTTGGTTGGAGACGAATGCCAGGGGATGGTGGGGGATGCTGTTTCCTGGAGTTCGGAGGCCTGGCCCTGCCCCAGTGTGCCTGTGAGCACGGCCCTATCCCCAGTGGTGCTGCTTCCTCCGCTGTACATTGGGGACGATAAATTCATGAGGGTGCCAAGACTCCAGGGATGGTACGTGGAAGCCAGAAGAAATAATGGAGTAAATGCACCGAAATGTTTTTCAGAAAGCATGTCTTTAAGATGCTAATAGTTGTGGCATATTACGGCTAAATTTCAGCACATCTGTTAAATTTGAATTTATAAAGTACCAATGTAATTGGCTGTGAAATTGGGTAGGTAAGACACTGCTTCATCCAGGAAGCCTGTGTTTGCCTGCATCGCAGGAGCGCATGGCTCCCTGTGGCCTGATCTGGGCCCCAGATCAAGGGAGCAGAGTTTCCACGAATTAGGTGCGTGGGCAGCGACCATATTTCGTTCTGTCCAGCAGTTATCCAGGTGGAACCCAAATCTAGGGTGTCTTCATCTTCTGAGCCACCCGCGAAGGCAGTGGTCCCCAAACCTGCTCTGTGTGACCTACTCCCTGAGCACCCCCAGCACAGCCGGCCAAAGTTTAGGAATCTGGCGGCTCATTTCTGCTGGTTCAGAAAGGTGATCACCAGGGTATTAAGGGAGGCTTTCAAATGCCACCAGGTGTCACAGGTCAGTGGGTTAAGCTGTGCTCTAGTTCCTGAGAGGCTTTTACTGATGCTGTGGGTCTGCATGGCCAAATGGTCAGGGATGGCTTCTCTGTCTGTGGGCATGTCATCCAGGTGTCCCCACCACAGACCCTGTCTCAGCACTTCCGTGGGACAGAGCTTCTGGGGAGGCGTCGCGGAAGAAGTGTCTGTGCTCCCGGTGCTGACAAGTGGTGTTAAAGGGACTCTCTGTTAACTAGTGAGATGATGTGATCTTGCTTGTCTGGTGGATGTATTTGGAAACTTATCACATTATCCTAATTTACCATTTCTATCCAAATTATATTTTATCCTAATTCTTTATGCAAATTACCTTTTACTTAAAAGACAGGCTCACTTTTTCAGAAAACACCATTATAATCTTAACTTTAACTACAGAATAGTTGTATGATCAAATCTTGAGGGTAAAAGTTTAGAAATTTGGATTTACAATTTTATGCTGCTTTATCTTTGTTTATCACAAATACATTTTTACTTAATATAGAACTTCAGGTCTTTTAAATAGACAGTGGCATTAGATCTTATTAGTTATATGTTATAAAACTTACAATTTATTATTGACCCCAAGTCGGTCATAGAGGTTTCCAGTAGCTGGTTGGGCTGTGTTCATAGGAAGCTAGTGCACCGCGGACCCAGTGCTACAGGACGACACTGTGGCGAGGGACGGAGGGCGTGGCTGGGCCGGGGCAGTCGGGGAAGAAGCTTTGTGAAGAAAGTTAGACCACTTGCCCTGGCCAGTTTGGCTCAGTGGATTGAGTGCCAGTCCTCGGACTGAAGGGTCCTGGGTTTGATTCCGGGCAAGGGCATGTCCCTCGGTTGCACGCTAAATCCCCAGCACTGGTAGGGGTACAGGGGGGAGGCAACCAATTGATGTCTCTCTCATAACAGTGTTTCTCTGTCTCTGCTTCCCTTCCACTCTCTCTAAAAATCAATGGAAAAATATCCTTGGGTGAGGATTAACAAAAAGATAAATAAAAATTGTAAAGTATTTTTAAAAAAGACCTAAGACGTGTGGAGCTGCTGTGGGAAGTAGACCTAACTCCAGAGGCTGAGACAGAGAAAAACTTCCCTGCTGCCTCCCTCATTCTTTAAAATCAGCGTTTGCGCATGCCCATGTTAGCTTTTCTCTCTCTGTTGGCAGATAACGGGCTGCTTTGTACCTAAAGCTCACTCTTGTGGTCACAAAATGAGACCTTCCTGTGACCTGATCCGTTGGCCTCGGCCAGGTCATGATCGCCAAGCCACACGCTCTTGGAGTCCTTTGACTTCTGATGGTGGCCGTGCTGGGCTTGTGTGACGTGGTCCTCTCTTCCTCTGCAGGTCATCACCAATCTGGTGAAGATGCTGAAGTCCAGAGACACGAGGAGAAACTTCTGTCCCCCAAACCACTGGCTGTCAGAGCAGGAAGACATCCGAGCAGATAAGGTGTTACTGGCGGCCTTTCAGCACTTGTCCTTTATAACCGTTTAATTTATTATTAGGTGACTGAATAGTAACTGTGAATGTTTTCATTGTAACTCTTAGGTCATTGATGGAATACAGAGCATTTTCATAGACTAAAATATGCATTCTGATTTTATTCATTTTAATTTGCTCTTTTAACCCCAAATTGTATTGAACCCTGATGATTCTCTGTTGGGGTGGAAGAAGATTTTGCTTTTACTGGTGTCATCGATATAGATTTAAGACTTAGAGGAAATGGAGCTTGTCCTTGGTTTTATAAAGGAACAGACAGATTTGAATATTAGTGACATTTAGAGCTAAAGTAGATTCAATACTATAGTTTAAAAAATTAAGCAACATTAATAAAGGGCATGAGATGTCATTTTTATCAGAAAAAGGCATGACTAGGTTCATTTCAGAATCTTGGGGATGGAGGATACAGGAGATACAAGGGGCACTACTGAAACGCTAAAGAAAATGGCTTTTTGGAACAGTTTCACAAGCATTACTCTGTCCCCACTTAATCAAGTTAACCACGTGGCTTCTGGCTCTGTCCACTGGCCAGGTTGAAGCCATGACAGGTCCTGTGCTGGTGAGCACGGCCAGGGCCCAGGGTGGGGCCTCTGAACAGCAGTTGTCAGCCCGGGGGTCAGTCCTAGGTCTGGGAAGCCCCAGACAAGGTGGTGCTTTGTCGCTGGAGGATCGAGCAGTGCAGAAGGTAGAGTGGGAGAGCCAGGGGCCAGCTGAGGATCTCCTGGGGGGGGTTCAGGCGGGGGGGGGGGGGGGGGGGCAGGTAGCACACATCACTCAGAACAGGTGCAGTGGGCCAGGGGCCAGATATCAGATGTGCTTATTAGCCTGCGAGCTCCTGAGCCTAAAGAGAAAAAGAGTTGCACCGGCCACTTTGGTAAATGCGAAGGACTGACCCTATTGTTTTTGTTGTTATTGCTAATCCTCACCAGAGGATATCTTTCTCATTGATTTTTAGGGAGAGGGGGCGGGAGGGAGGAGCAGTCGTATGGATGATGGTTAGTGTGTCACAGTGTTACACATCAGCAGAGATGTCCCTGGGATGTGTTAGAGAAAACAGTCACACCCTCTGGCAATGGGCAAGGAGACACCTGATTGGTGGAGTTGCTCTTATATCAGTCAGGGGCAAAGCAGATGTCAGTCCTTAGTTCATCCCAGCTTGATGTCTGTGTCGGTGGCCAGAGCTGTTTCATGCCTGAGGCACATAAAAAACCAGTCACACAGTGAGTGTGTGAGGGCATGAGCAGGTCATCTGAAAAGGACATGCGGTCAGAGAGGGGCCTAGCTTACTCCAGTAAACATAAAATGGCCACCAGCTCACCTGGGACAGCTGGGGCAGCACTAAGCAGGGTTGCTGATCCCCTAGGTCACCCAGCTGTACGTGCCAGCTGCCAGACACGTGTGGAGGTTCCGACGGATGGGGAGGATCGGCCCCCTGCAGTCCACCCTGGATGGTGAGCGCTCTCTAACCTCGGGCCAAGGGGAGTAATTCACAGACCATGGAACTCATCTTTTCCATGTCCTGTTCTGTGATTTTTGTTGAACATGTACCACACACCACCTCGAGCTCCTTCGTAGCCCTCTCCCCCAGCAGCCTCAAGTTCCTGGTAGTCCCATAGCTCTGTCCTTTCTGGAATGTCTAAGTTGAACCATACAGAGCGTATCCTTGGGGGTCTGGACAGGAGGGTATGTGTACCTAACAGGTTTGCACTGTGTTGCAGTGGGTTTGGAGTCACCTCCACTGTCTGTATCTGAGGAAAGACAGCTCGCCATCCTGACGGAGCTGCCCTTCGTGGTTCCATTTGAAGAGCGGGTAAAGGTAGGCTGACTTTCTCCAGAGAGGGTGTGCAGTATTTCATATCATTTCAGTGTGAAAAAGGAACACAAATGAAAGAGTCTCTGAAGTGGCCTAGTGCCTAGCTCAGCCGTGGGCAAACTACGGCCCACAGGCCGGATCCGGCCCGTTTGAAATGAATAAAACTAAAAAAAAAAAAAGACCGTACCCTTTTATGTAATGATGTTTACTTTGAATTTATATTAGCTCACACAAACACTCCATCCATGCTTTTGTTCCGGCCTCCGGTCCAGTTTAAAAACCCATTGTGGCACTCGAGTCAAAAAGTTTGACCACCCCTGGCCTAGCTAATAGTACATTTATATTTTTTGCATCAGATTGTAATAGTTAACAGCGATTTATAAATGTGTAATCCAACCAGATGTATCCGTACAAACTTGAAATATTTTTTCTTTAGTTGTAACTACTTAAAAAGCCTGTTAGGCTATCATCTATATATATGAAAGCCTAAGCGACCATCCAACCGTCTGACCAGTAGCTATGATACACAATGGCCACCAGGGGGCAGATGCTCAGCGCAGGGGTTGCCAAGCTGGGGTGACTTGGCAGCTGCGGTTCTCGGGTGACAGACCCGGAACCAGAGAGGAGGGAGCCCGATTCCAGGGTGCATCACCTGAGAACCGCCCTCTTGCAATCTGGACCCCGCAGGGGATGCTGGAGAGCCAGTTTTGGCCTGATCCCCGCAGGCCAGGCTGAGGGACCCCACCAGGGCACGAATCTGTGCGCCAGACCTCTAGTGTCTTAAAAAAGGGAGCCGTAGAGTACTCTTTGTCTAGTAAATGTTGCATTATTTTTTAAAACACCGTTTTTTTTTTAAAGCTACACCTCTGCACATGGTGTTATAGAGATGTGCACTTTATAGCTGGTGACTGTTGGCTAACACACAGAACTTGTTCACACTGACCTGCTTTTGGAGGCTTTGCCGGCAGTTCTCTGAGGTGAACAGAATGTGCTCCTTCTGTAGCCAGTGCTGCTTCCTGGAGACATGCACGCTGCCGCTCGTGCATGGCTCCTGAGCTCCCTCTGCTGGAGCTTTGCCTAAAGAACTGCTTACATTTTATCATTATGGAGCTCTTACTAATGTTCATATACAGCTGTACGGAGCTGGTCTTCCTTCTTTCCTCCACCACCTGGATTTTTATGAAGGGTTTACAATAGAAAATACTGAATATATACTATAGGGTTGGATTTTTTAAATTTGTTGTAAAATGGGGTAAAGGAGCAATGTTACACATGAATAAATATTACCGTTTGTAGATAAGGCATAAAATCAATATTTGATACTTTAAAATTGGTTTTAGATTTATGGGAATACAAAAGTTAAGATTTATTTAGCAGTTTTCTTTTGTTTGCTTATGTTTATAACAAAAATTCTGTTTTGTCAAATAACCTTATAATTTTCCCCGTGTGTTAGATCTTTCAAAGGTTGATTTATGCAGACAAGCAAGAAGTTCAAGGAGATGGCCCATTTCTGGATGGAATTAATGTCACAATAAGAAGGAATTATATTTATGAGGATGCTTATGACAAACTTTCCCCAGAAAATGGTATGTATGCTTCTCTTTGTGTCATGTATGAATGTGACAGGGGGGCCAAGGGATCATTTTAGAAAAAGATAATCATTTAAGAACGAGTGTCCACCATCTTGTCCTGCAGTGACTTTTTAAAACTGAAATGTAGGGGTTCAAATTTGGGAGGTGCATATCATCAAATAAGATTGCTAGGATTGACAAATAATGATTGCCACACAAGCCTTTCAGATATTGAGTTGGCCCCCGCCCCCCCAGTGGGATGGGCAGTATTTTGTATACAATTACCTGTTTATGTAAATGCTATCAATTGTCAGCCCAATTAAATGCACTCGAATAAAAGCCGTTGCAATCCAGACTTCTAAAGAAGCAGTGTGCTTTAGGGCAGTCCTAAGAGACAAGAGGGTTACGTGCACCAATGATTTGGGCAGCATGTAGAGGTCAGTGACACATTTTTTCTGGGTTTAGTGATTGACACCCAGTGTTAAAACTTTTGATATTAATTTATATATGAATCATTTTAGGTTCAGAATGTGGAGTCCATGATACTGTGTTAAATCAATGCAGGAGATTGAAAAGGAACGCTGGTAGGACCCGGTCACAGGTCCGGTGGGAAATGACAGCACCTTTTCTTAAGAGGAGCAATTTAATTCTCTGCCAGGAAAGCAAAACCTCTCATTTGGGTGGTTTTCTGTTTGCTTGTTTTTTGTTTTTGCTTTTCTGTAAAGAGCTAGCTGGGGTTGTCCTGTGGGAACAGTGAGGAGGGTCACATCGCAGGCCACGAGCTCTGGCCCAGGCGCTGCATGAGGGGCACTGGGTGTCGTTCCCTTTCTCATTTAGTCTGCGCCGCAGACCTCGGGCCGGACGCCATGAGCTGCGATGGATCACTCTTGCCTGGGCTATTATGTTCTGTGTTATGTATGAATGAGGGGGAGTCAGGTACTCTGACTCCTTGTCTCACATACTTTACAGGGGAAAGTTCTTCCTCCTTTGGGACCCACAGGCTGTCATGAGTCCGTTGTGGTTGTCGCATTGTATTCGCAGTCGAAGCGTGGAGTTCTGGGGAGGAATCCTTGGTTCAGTGCACAGCTGGCGGCAGTGGATGTGGTTGGATTTGTGATTGAGCCTGGGGAGAAGATACAGGAAATGATAGGTCAGCTATGTTGTCCTAGAGTGCAGAGCAGAGCTGAGTGTGGAGGATGGTGGCGAGCTTTATGAAGAGGTGGGACTTGACCTACGCCTCAGGGACAGGAGACAGGTCTATGGGTGAGGGTACAGCAAGGCTCGGACAGCCAGGCCACCACGCCTGCACATGGTAGACTTGGGCTTTCTGCAGGTGCAGCCCGTGTGAGCACTTCACCCAAGTCAGTGTGTGTGCTTACTGTGAGTTTGGCTTTAAAACTACTTCATGTAGGTGATTTTTTAAAGACATTAATATTGCCCAATTATAGCAAACCCCAATTGCCTACTGTGTCCTTAAACTTAGAAATTATTCAAAGTTGATGATACTCCACCTCCTAAGTGCAAGCTGATAATTGCATTCAGTTTAATGGATTGGGAAAAATCTTCTCATAATACGTGTAATATGCATTATAATGCTTTAAATCTTTACAAATGTTCTCTAATTCTTATTAGTATGAAATTTTAAACCATGTGTTAAAATTATTTAGTATTTTACTAGGCAAATTAGTAAAATTAAATATTATCTTAGAATGTTTAATTCACTTAGGGAATCAGTTTGAAGTGCTCTGTTGACTGATCATTTACATATAATCAGTTAATATGATTACCCCATATATCATCTAGTTATTAAAGCAGATCCATCCTTTATGGATAGCGGTTATCTCATTCCATCTCAGGACAGTTCTCTGCAGTGTGGGTACCAGCCCCCGTCACCTGCAGGTTGGCCGGGTGGACCTCGGAGAAGTGGAGTGGCTTCCCTCCGCAGTTGGGCGCTGAGCAAATAGTGGCACAGGCCTTGGCAGGGGACCTCATCGCAGCACTTCCCACAGTGACAGTGTGGGCTGGGCCTTGCCCATGAGAGGATGTGGGGACTGTTCGGAGGGTCGGGATGGCAACGCAGTGGCTCCTGACGTCCTCATTGTCATGGTGACGGTGGCTGGGGCAGGCTGACCTGTGCCATGTCTTCTCCCAGGAGCCTCGCTCACCCCTGCTTTCCAGTGTTACTTCTTTACTGGGCAGGATTTATTACATTGTTTTCCTGAAGAAGAAAGGATACTAAGCTAAAATCAAAGTAACCGCGCACTGAGGCTTTCCTCACTAAAGCCATCCTGTGTGCGTAGATATTCTAAATGTGTCCTTAGGAACATGTAGTGGCACGGCCCCTAGAAGACACTGCCTTCTGAGCACATGCTGGGCTGTGGTCCTGCTGTTTACAGGGGTGGCTGACGGGAGCTGCAGACAGCTCAGCCTGTGAGGGGAATGTGTGTGGATGGTGCTGTGTCTCAGAGACAGCGACCTCCTTAGAACAGCGTCCTGTAGCGTGAATCTTAGCCCTGCAGCGTAAGGTGGACAGTGGTTGAACATTTCCCACCTACAAAATTTTTATGCTTACAATTTTTACAAAAAATCTGCTAACTGCTGACAATGATAATGATCTTGAGAAATATTATCTATGACACATCCTCATAATACCCAGGTAAAGGATGCAATAGTTCATCCCAGTTTAAAGTATATTTTTGTTCTTTAAATATATTTGTATTGATTTCAGAAAGGAAGAGAGAGGGAGGGAAGATAGAACATCACTGAATCACTGATCTGCCTCCTGCACGCCCCCTCCTGGGGATCGAACTCTGACCTCCTGGAACATTGGTTGACGCTCAGCCACTGAGCACACTGGCCGGGCTGGCCACCCTTGGCCTGGGCGTTATGAGGATGTGTAAGGTGAGAAGGGCAGCTGCAGCTTTGTGCGGCAGCCGTGGTTGTCTGCTTGGGTGCTTTCGGCATTTTACTAGAACTTGAGATTGGACATATTTTGTAATCATATCAATCAAAATACTACAAACAAATAACTATTTGTGGAACTTGATCGTCAGTGGAAAGCATGTTCTTCTGTAAGTGGAGTGAAATGTTAAAAGTGAAAGAATGTGTTTGAGTAGAGAAGAGCCTCTGCTTGCAGGGAGCAGGCGCAGCTCCAAGGTGCAGCACGGCCCATGTGCTCACTCGGTGTTGTCAGGTGGACCGCTGGCCTGTGGGCATCTCACCGCAGAATAGGGGTCTGACCCCAGAAGGTGGTTAGAGGAGCTGAAGGGACGGATCTAGCTCAGGGTGGGCGTTCAATGTGGGCCCCTTTGCGGAGCGTAGGAAGGTGGTTTGGGTTCGCCTTCCCCAGTAGCGTGTGGGCTTTAAGGAAGAGCTCGCCGGGCTTACCCGGTGCAGCTGTGGTCCCTGCTGGTGGGTTAGGTGACCGTTTGGTGAGACAGTGGGAACTGCTGTGTGTGAGGCCCAGACTAGGCCACACTGGAAGTTATGTTCAAAACGCTATGGAACATTCACACCAGGCTCTTGGACTTCAGAAGTACCAACACCTGTGTATCATGGGGTTGGAGGCTCTCGTTCATGTGTTGCACTCCCTCCTCTGCACAGCACCTGGAGAACACAGGAGGGAAGCGGGAAGGGCTTGTGCGTACCGGGATCTGGCACTGGATGGAAGCCTGCTGTGCTCATGGCGGCCTGTCGGGACGCGTTAGTCCTCCCCAGGTGGTGCTGTCCTTAGGAGACCTTTGTGGGGATTCCTCTCATTCTATCCCAAAAAAGTCCTCCTTTTCAGCCAAGCATCAGTTTTCAGTGGTGGTGTCGATTCTGGTGTTCTGCCCTCCTGTGGCACTGGCCTCAGTGACAGGGTCGTTCATTTCACAGGCATCTTTATTCACTTACCTTTTTTACCTTCTTGGTAATAATCTGTTCCAGTGTTACCCTCATGCCCTAATTCCAACTCCCTCCTCTCTGGGCGTCGTTGTTTGCATTGCTCCTGGGAATAAGCCGATGGCTGTTCCTCATCTCCCTCCCGTTCTTGCTGCTCCACCCACCAGAGCCCGACCTGAAGAAGCGCATCCGCGTCCACCTGCTCAATGCACACGGCCTGGACGAAGCCGGTATCGACGGTGGCGGCATCTTCAGGGAGTTCCTGAACGAGCTGCTGAAGTCGGGCTTCAACCCTAACCAGGGCTTCTTCAAGACGACGAACGAGGGCCTCCTGTACCCCAACCCTGCTGCGCAAATGCTCGTGGGGGACTCCTTCGCCAGACATTACTACTTCCTGGGCAGAATGCTTGGAAAGGTAACACGGCTCGTGGGGACGGTCTCTGACCAGGAGGGTGATGTTTATGTGTCTGCATGGTGGCCGATGGTTTCTGTGGAGACCTTCATTCAGAATTCTTACGTGATTTTGATGACCCCTGAAGAGCACTTTCCTCTAATAACTAGAGCTCATCTTTATTCTTGGCATGCACAGTAGTAAGTTAAGGGGAATTGTTGGGATGGTGCCGAAAACATGGGAAACATACCATACGATTGTGTTTGTAGAAGACCCGCAGTGCTGTGTGCCGCACATGGCATCTTCTCCTGGGGTCTGGTTGATAATAGTGTGAACATGATCCTTGTCAGGTTCTAATAATTTCACAGTGTGTGGGGCGGGAGACCGTCGTTGTGCAGTGTGGTTCGTGCTGCATGTGCTGTATGCAGTTCTATGAACACTGGCCCCTGAGGAGCCCCAGGGCTACACCTGCCGACCATCCTAAAAGGCAGCTGGATTGCAACAGGAAGGAAAAGGTTACATAGCCCAGCGGAAACTCCCTGCCATTAAAGTCAGAACAAGTCAGGGTCTTTCCCAGTGCTGGCCTCCTACTCACTGACATCTGTGGGCCGGTCCAGGCTGCTGGATTGAAATGCTGCAGGCTGGCTGGCTTAGAAACAACCAAAATTCACTTCTCACAGTTCCCAAGGCTGAAAGCCTGGATGAGGGTGCCACATGGTGTCGTCCGGTGGGGGCCCACTTCCTGGTTCATAACCATTACCCTCTCGTGTGCGCATGTGGTGGGGGGAGGGCCTCTTTCATGAGGGCGCTGACCCTGTTTTTAGGCTCCACCTTCATGACCTCATCACCTCCGAAGGCCTCACCTCCTAAGACCATCACCCTGGGGGTTAGGATTCAGTGTATGAACTTGGGGGGCAGTCACTCGGACCACAGTGCAGCCTGTGGGTGTGCCATGTGGGAAGCAGGAGGAGGGAAGTCATTTCCATCAGGTGTCTCACTGCTTCCCCCAGGTCAAGTCCATGCCAGGAAAAGCAGTTCGTTGTTGTTTTTTCTTTCTCTTTTTTTTTTTTTTTTTTTAACTTTTTTACTGATTTCAGAGAGGGAGAGAGAGATAGAAACATCAGTGATGAGAGAGAATTACCGATCAGCTGCCTCCTGCATGCCCCTCCCTGGGCATCGAGCCCACAACCCAGGCATGTGCCCTGACTGGGAATCGAACCGTGACCTCCTGGTTCATAGGTTGACGCTCAACCACGCAGTCACACTGGCTGGGCGGGGTTTTTCTTTTCTTTCTCTTTGATTACTGACATTTTAGTAATGAGAAACATGCAAGGTTATTTTGTTTGCTTTGTGCACTTTAACTAAATTTAATGTTGGTAATTGCTAATCCTGGCATGATGTTGTCCTATAGGAGCTCCAACCCAGGGAAGCCACACTGTTCTTCCGGGGACCACAGGGAAGAGTCATAGCCTTTATTACTGACACAATGGGGTCCCCAATGGCGGTTGATGGAGGGGGGATTTGCGCACTTGGCCAGGGTGGGCTAGGGGCTTATCTAGCAGAGGAGAGAGGGAGGGAGCCGTGCTAGGGAGGCCTGTGTGCAGACCAAGACCAAACAGGGAGTCTGGTGAGGCTTGTTAGTCATCAAAGATGTGGGAAATACTCAGGTCTGAACTGCTCTGATCCTGCCGCTGGCCAGACGGACACCATTCCACTGACTAGGAGGGAGAAGTGGGCCATATCCTCACTTGATCCTACACTCCACCCCGCTATCACCCATTCCACCTCACAGTGTACGCGCCAGTTTTCCAGTAGCAGACCTGGGTGGTTAGGGCATTAGCACAGTGCATTCAAGCCCCGGATGCAGTATTGGCTACAAGCACAGAGTAATAGCAAGGGGAAGAGACCCACAACCCTAATGGGGGAGATACGGCCACCACAGGTCCTGCAGACCCAGAGGTTCCCCCGAGGAAAGGGAATGCACCCACCCTGCAGCTGTCCTGTTTTCCCAGAGGCGGGGCATGCCATTCCACAGGTGCAGGTGGCTCCATTCTGTCAGGTGAGTGGCTCTGTCTTCCAAGGCAGCCCAGCAGTAGCAGGGGGCATCCGAATGCAGCCCGCAGTCTGCAGCCCTGGCCCGCAGAGCCACTCATCAGCCCGTCTTGCACTGCACTGAGGAGACTAAGACAAGTGTCACGTAGGCCCCCAACAGAAGCAAGTCAGGAAGAATACCAATCTTAGCAGTTCTAGTGACTGTGGGAGCAAGCTGTGGGCAAGACCCTCCCTCACGGGGCGAGGAGAGCGCACCAGCAGGTACCAGTATGAGTTTCCCAGGGCCAGGTTAACATGTGAGCTCCAGTTTGGAGACGTCTGCCTCCTTTGTGTTCACTGGGGAGGCTTCCTGCCGTGTAGAGGAAGGAGTAACCTGTGTATAGGCTCCACAGTAGCATTGCTCAGTACACACAGCACATCCACCCATGAGACTGTTATCCATAAAGCTCAGCTTCTCTGCTACCCGAGAATCCTTGCTGTGTTTTATAGCTAAGTGAAACACATTTTTCATGGTGTTGTGGGGAAATTCGTTAGGGTTTTTGGATGGTCTGGGAATATATTTTTATTTCCCCTATCCTTTATAACAAAAGCCTAATACGCTGTGTCCAGTTGACTGGTCAGCCGTTCAACCAATCAGCGCGTGGTATGCTAAGGCCGCTCAACTGCTCGCTATGACATGCACTGACCACCAGGGGGCAGGTACTCCAACCGATAGGTTGGCTTGCTGCTGGGGTCTGTCCGATCGGGACTGAGCCAGACAGGCCAGACACGTCCTGGTGCCCTCCCATGGTCTCTCCCCGGCTGGCCAACCTCCCGCGTCTCTCCTGGCCCAATTGTGCACCGGTGGGGTCCATCAGCCTGGCCTGCGCCCTCTCGTAATCCAGGACCCTTTGGGGGATGTCAGAGAGCTGGTTTTGGCCTGATCCTGCAGGCTAGGTCGAGGGGCCTTTGGTTGAAATATATTGTTATTGATCTCAGAGAGGAAGGGAGAGGAAAGAGAGAAACATCAGTGATGAGAGAGAATCATTGATTGGCAGCCTCCTGCATGCCCCCATACAGGGATGGAGCCTGCAACTTGGGCATGTGCTCTGGCTGGGTCAAATCATGACCTTCTGGTTTACAGGTCAATGCTAACCAATTAACCACACCGGCCAGGCTATTTCCCCTGTTGAAATAGTGGATTAAGCCCTAGCTGGTTTGGCTTAGTAGATAAAGCGTTGGTCTGTAGACTGAAGGTTCCCAAATTTTATCTGGTCAAGGGCACATGCCCGGGTTGCGGGCTCAATCCCCAGTAGGGGGTGTGCAAGAGGCAGCCGATCAAGGATTCTCATCATTGATGTTTCTCTCTCTCCCTCTCCCTTTCTCTCTGAAATCAATTTAAAAATAAAAATATATTTACAGAATAGTGGAATGGGAATATTTAATTCATTTTTTCCCATTAGAAATCATGTAAATTGAATTCATTTGTTCCAGACCCCCAAATGATTTCCTGTTTTAACCTTTCTTATATGTCTATTGTATTGTTTAATCTATAAATGAAAACTTTAAAAACAAAAAGGGCCCTACCCGTTTGGCTCAGTGGATAGAGTGTTGGCCTGTGGACTAAGGGTCTTGAGTTAGATTCCAGTCAAGGGCATGTATCTCAGTTGCTGGCTCCACCCCAGCCCAGGCCCTGGTTGGGGCTTGTGCAGGAGGCAACCAGTCAATGTGCTTCTCTCACATCGATATTTCTCTCTTTCCCACTCTCTTTTACTCTCTCTAAAAATCAATGGAAAAATATCCTCAGGTGAAGATCCCAAAAAAAAAAAAAAAGGACATGAAATGTAAATGAAAATCTAACAAAAAGGAAAGGAAATGTACAGTAAAAAATAAAAGTTTCACAGTAATTATAAGCACACACACCCAGAAATAATCACAGCACATCCTGAAATGTTAGCAGTGGTAAGCTGACTCATATTCGCACATTCTCTCCTTGGTTTGTCACCTGAGAGACGCGTGACTAATCACACAGGGATCGGCATGGAAGGGTTGTCAGGTTGAGGCGTGAACTGTTTGAATGGGAGGCGTTTGAGAAAAGAAGTTTCAGTGCATTTATTGTCCACACCTTTTGAGAGACGGCTAGATTGTAACAAGGATTGTTATCAGTATGGCTTCTGCAAATCAAGGTGTGACCAAAGGTGACAGACACTCGGGAATGGAGGGCAGCAACTATTAGCCACTGGCCAAATCCACCCACCTGTTTTTTTATAAAAATGTTTTACTAAAGTGCAGCCGGGCCTGATCAACAAATGGTCTGAGGCTGCTTCCACCCGCCCGCTTCCACCCCACCTCCCCCCTGGCAGAGTTCAGCAGCGCCTCACGTGTGCTGCTAGGGCCCTGTGTTCCACGGTGGGCAGTAAGGTCGTCATCCCATGGGTCATGGCTGAGATAATGGACTTTCTACGTTTTCAGAAGACTGTGGTCCCGAGGGGAGCAGAGGGATTGGATTTTTGGTCCCACCCGGTGGTGGCCTGGATTGCGGCAGTGTTGTGGTGCAGGCGAGTGAGGGCTACAACAGCTTTATTGAGACATGGTTCACACACCATGCAGTCCGCCTGGTCCAGGTGGTTTCAGTACATTCACAGACAGCCACATGCACCCCGGAACATTTTCACCGCCCGGATCCCCTGACTCCCCAAGCCCTGACCAGTGCTCACCTGCCTTCTGTCTGCGTGAAGCACCCACTCTGCACAGTTGACATAAACCGTGTCAGGCAGCTGTGGCCTCGTGGCTGGCTTGTTCAGCACGCCTGTTCCAAGGACCCTCCGAGTTGTAAGGTGTTACTACTTCACCCCTTTCATTGCCAGGCTCCCTGGCAGGCAGCCTCACTTAGCCAGCAGTGGGTTTGTGGGGTTGTCCTTGGGGGAGTTTCTATCACTGCAGCACCCGGGGTGGAGGGAGAGGCCTGGAGGGTTAGGGTTAGAGTGGAAAGT